CACGCCCCCGACTGACACAGCCCCGAACACGCGGGACCCATGGGCTGTCTGCTCCCGCCCGGTCACTCGGGGACTCGGGGTTCCTCTCTCTGACACGGCTCTGAACACGCAGGGCCCACGGGCTGTCTCGCCCCTCGCCCGGTCATTCGGGGACTCGGGGTTCCTCTCTCTGACACGGCTCTGAACACGCAGGGCCCACGGGCTGTCTGCTCCCGCCCGGTCACTCGGGGACTCGGGGTTCCTCTCTCTGACACGGCTCTGAACACGCAGGGCCCACGGGCTGTCTGCTCCTGCCCGGTCACTCGGGGACTCAGGCCTCTGGACTCGCGGGTCCCTGTCCCGAGCGAGTTCTAGCGCCCACCCTCAGGTCCTCAGCCACCCGGGGACCGAGCCACCGTCTGCAGCTGCAGAAGCAAACAGTCAAATAAATAAGACAGCCCCGGGGTGACAGGCTCTCCCGGGCCCGCGGAGGACAGGGACCGGCTTCCCACCTCGCCCAGCCGCCCCGTCGGGTGTGCGTCCTCACTGCCCGGCACCTGGCAGCCACGGTCCCAGCGTCGGAAAGTGTCTGAGCGCACCCCGGCAGGTCTTCCTCTCCTCCCGGCCTCCCCCACCCACGCGGCCCCCCGAGCTTCCTCATTGCGGTGTTGGGAAATCAGGGTGACAGCACTGTCGCCGGCTCCCAGCCCCCGCTCCGTGGCGTGGCCGTGGCCCGGGCGGAGGCCGCGCGTGCCCCACGCACAGGAGGAGGGACAGAGCCCGAGGACCGGGGCAGAGGGGCAGCACGGCCCTGCAGCAGGGCCTCCTCCCTGCTCCCGAGGGCTCCTGTCTGCAGCTCCGACGTAGTTTCTCTTCCTGAGCACCGACCCAGCTGGGCCCGAGTCCGCTGGCTGATGCAACGGGGGTGGGCTTCTCTGCGGTGCTGGGGCGTTCTTGCCTCATGCTCCATGTCCGCGTGGAGGAGCTTATCCTCCCAACGGCCGTCTAGCCGGCGCCTCCTTGTCTGACTTCGCGTTTTATTTAGAGAGATTTTTACTATAGGCTGCTCGCTCACCAGAGAGACAGAGACACACTGAGACAGAAAGCGAGAAATCAACTCCCAGGGGGGATGGCCACGCCGTAATCCCTTCTCCTCCATTCTCCTCTCGGGATCTTGGGGACACACGCACACGCGCCCGGCGTGAGTTTAAGCCACTGGGTCCGGGACTCGAACCACGGTCAACTACGTGGGAGTCCAGCGACATAGCCATGACGCTACCTGCTGGTCCCTAAATAAAATATTTTCTAATATATATATATATTTTTTTGGAGAGGTTTTTGCTATAGAGCATGTGCGCTCACCAGAGAGAGACAGAGAGACTGAGAGACAGAAAGCGAGACATCACCCCCTGGGGGGGTGGCCACGCCGCAATCCCTTCTCCTCCATTCTCCTCTCGGGATCTTGGGCACGCATGCACACGCCCGGCGTGAGTTTAAGCCACCGGGTCCGGGACTCGAATTATAGTCGACTACGTGGGAGTCCAGCGACACAGCCATGACGCCAACTGCTGGTCTGCGTCTTATTGTTTTCTTGTAGTTTTCTCTTCTTCTCCCCTTCCCCTCCCCTCCTGTCCTACCCTCTGCCCTTATTGTCTGATGGGCAGGTGACCAGGACAAGCGGAGACGTCTGTGACCAATGAGACAGGGACACAACGACAGGACAGAAAGTGACAGGAGGCTGGGGCACACAGAGGCGGGCATGCCAGTGTCACCCGGGCTCCCGGAGAAGGACAGGGCAGAAGCTCGGTGTCCGCTCCGGCTGGAGAATGAGGGCTAGGCGCAGTGGAGTGGGGGAAAGAGACCCCACGCGGAGTGGTGCTGTGTGTGGGCGGCTTCCCGGAGGCAGCGTCGGGTGGACGTTGCCACACGTGGGTATGAAGGGCAGAAGAGAGCTGCAGAGCCAAGGGCTGACGAGCCACTGCGAGTCCTTCCCTGACCGGTCAGCCGGACCAGGATGGACGCTCCTGTCCTCCGTCTGGGTTTTGGAATAGTCCAAAAAAAAAAAAAAAGTCTTGGAGTCAGCAGGTGGCGTAGTGGTTAAGGTGCTGGACTCCCATATGGCTGACCGTGGTTCGACTCCTGGACTCGGCAGCTTGAAACTCTTGGGTGCATGTGAGTGTGCACCCAAGATCCCGAGAGAATGGAGAAGGGATTGTGGCGTGGTCATCCTCCATTGGAGGGGTGATTTCTCACTCTCTGTCTCTCTGTCTCTCTGTCTCTTCAGTGAGTGTACTCACCCTATAGCAAAACTCTCTTGAAAGGAAAAACGGAAGAGGTCTGGCATCTCGATCTGAGAGACCCCTCAAAGCCCTTGGAATGTCTTGCCTAAGAAGCGTGTCCTTGGGACCAGCAGTTAGCGTCATGGCTATGTCGCTGGACTTCCATGTAGTCAACCGCAGGTTCTTGTCCCGGACCCAGTGGCTTAAAACTCACGCCAGGTGCGTGTGCGTGCGTGCCCAAGATCCCGAGAGGAGAATGGAGGAGAAGGGATT